TGTGTGTGTGTGTGTGTGTGTGTGTGTGTGTGTGTGTGTGTGTGGATCCTTAATGGTGTTAAACCCAGAATAAAACAATATATAAGCTTTTTTGTGAAACAGACACACATAGATTACTAGAAAAATACCACATGAGATGCGGTGGTTATCATCAGCAACAGCAAAGGCTGCAAGGATGGAACATCATCTGTTCTGATGCTCAGCTGCCTGTTTATTCTACAGATTTCAGTAAACTATGTGGGGAAGCAGCCAGTGGGAAAAGAGTGGAAGAGAAGGAAACTCAGTTTGTCTGAGGGGGCAGATCCAGCTGTGGAAAGACGAAAAAGCTGCAGACACTGCAGAGGCTGACCTGGGAGCTCCGGTGTGATCTTCAAACTCTAACAGCAGGAACCATCATGTTTTCACCATCGATACAACTGATRACCTCACTCCAAACACTTAGGCGGCCTGCCGAAAGCTCGGTGGAATCCTCTCCAGCAGTCCACTTGAAGCCACTTTGGCTTGAAAWTAGTGAGTCAGCTTCAGAGCAGATTTTCACAGCAGGTCTGTCTGGCCCAGATCCTCCCACCCACCACTGTCAGGAACCAGTCTTATCAAAATGACTTTATAAAGAGGATCTTTTGAAGCGGTCGGGCCAACAACAGCCACTTGTGGGTCTTTTTTCTGTTCTGACAGCAGCAGCACGGAGCGGGGAGTTAAACGGTTTTCATCCCCAAGCTGCTGAAAGTAAAACTGTGCTCCATTGTGATCAAGTGGAGGAATAAAATCATCACGAAGAGAAGTGTGAAGAGAGGGAACACAGATTAGCAGATATTGCAGACAAGATAAGAGGAGTGATGGACTGACTGTGGGACACTGAGGGACAGAGRAATGGTTGTTATGAAGCAGATATAATTAAAACCCTTTGTTTCCTTGTAGGAACTCATATCACCTGCTGATTCTGTGCCAGACATTTAAATTAAGTTATAACTGTTTAAGTCAAATTAGTTTCATCAGTTACATCTTGATGTTTCATTGAGGTCATGAGATCTTTTGTTAATGCAGCAGACAGAAAAACGCACATATACACACAGACATGGGCAAAAGTGCCTTTATCATCTCCAGTGCCTTTGGCAGCAGGAGATGATAAAGATAAGAGAGAAGAACAGAGTAAGAAACAAACTGTGCGACGATGAGCCAGATCATGAGGATAAAGAGAGTGGGAATCAGCAGCAAGATCACAGAGAGGAGCAGGAACCAGACTGGGCGTTTGAATGGAAAAGAAATAGGTAATGAGATGCTAATATAACAACAAAGGATAGAGAGCCCTCCGGGGGGGAGCTATGCTGCTTTTATATGAAAACAATTGAGGGTGGAATTTCTTTTTAAAATGACTTTTGTTTATCCGCTGCAGTGCATGCGGATTCATTAATGTTCGAATGCGGTGAGGAAAAACTGAACCAGAATCACATCAGCCCTCCTGCATTTGAGCTCTGAACACACACATCTGGAAAACGCAATGATTTAACAGGAAGAGGCTTCTTTAACTTACAGCCTGTGAAATAAAATGAACAAAATTTATCCCAAGATGCAAAACGATGAAAAGATTATTTACTTATTAAAAGGAATACCAACTTTCAGGCCAGAGTTTTAGACTAAAATCCTCTTGTGCTGAGAAATGATGAAGTTATAGCCATTTTGGAACATAACATGATGCTCAGTCTCATTAAATATCGCCACACACTCAAAGTGTGTGTTACCGCTCCACCTTTACCTTCGATGGAGGGCAATAAACTGAATCGATGAAAACCAAAATCAGGAAGAATGACCCGGAAAAATGTAAACACGGACAGGAAAAACACTGAGAGGCAAGAAGAGCTTGTGATGGGAAACAGGCTTTTAAGTGGGTGGAGATGAGATTTTACATGAGAGGGAATAATGGAGAGATAGGGTGCAAATGATGTAATTACTCGAGTGAACGAGTGCTACAGAAAAGTGATGCCAAGAACACGAGGAAAGGGTGCTGGGAGTGCGCTGGAGAGACCATCAAAGAGAATTCTGGAGGAGGGGAGGAGCGTAAACTGGGAAGACATGTGTGATGAAGTATTTGTGCTCGAAACATCCTCCTATAAAGAGCAGGTGTTTGTGTAAACCAGGGATATTCAGCTAAATCACTCCGGGGGCCGGGGTTACTTGAAGCCCACAGCTTCAGGTCAGCATCAGTGGAGGCCCTGAACATCGTCTATTTGGATACCATGTCCCTGAGTAAAAAACTCTCCAGGAGGTGAAAGCTGAAGATGAGGGGTTTGTACCACACATTCCCAGTTCACCCTCACTAATCATTTGGGTTACCAGGTCTGTCCGGCAGCCTCCACTGTATCCAAGTGTCTTAGATGAAGAGAGGGACACAGTTCTCAACTGATCCCCACCTGAAGCCATTTGATTTGAATGAAACTCTCAGGAAGTCATCCTTTATGTACATCCACACTAACAGGTCACATGAGGTCTTTGCTTAAAACTTTGAGCCAAATGAGCGATATACATTCCTTCGAGAAATTCTAGTTTAAAGTCATGAAATGTTAAAGTCAGATCCTGCGTTGTTTAACTGAGCACAAACAGACAGACAGTTCGCTCAAAGAGGCTTCTGCTGCAGCGACACTGCTGAAGAAGCAAATGAGACCAGATTTTCACAAGATGGGTGTTTATCTAAGTTTGTCCTATTATCAGAAAAGTTTCCATTTCTTTATTCGTCTCTCTTTGCCTCCAGGCTTTTGCAAAATTCACATTTCTGAGCTTTTACTCACTGTACTGCACCGATTTCATCAACTTTAAACTTTCCCTTCTTTTTAAAAGTACTACCAGCTCAATTTCTGGCCAAGATGCAAAGGGATTTTTGATGCACGAACAACAAAGTCAAAATAAAAGCTAACTTTTCTGATTCTCTCTGCGCCACTGCAGCTCGGAGGACTCGGAGCGTGTCAGAGGTGAGACGGGTTAATTGGGTTTCCCTTACTAATTAGGCCAATTAATTTGGAAAGGCAGCCCAGGCCAGGGGGGCTTCGCCGGGTCATCTCAGGATTACACCGACTGATGGGGAGTCGTGGGAAAGGAACAAGGAGCAGGAGCCCCGGAGCAAAAAGGGTCGCTCCAGAGGACTTCAGTAACCAATCCCTTCAACCTCCTTTTATAAATCTTATCACTAAGTGATTCACTCACTGAGGGTAATTACCCATTTGTGGCAATTTATCCAAATCAATCACTCCTTTTGGGAGTTGGGGATTTGGAAAACGGAGCCAGCCAATCAGTGCAATTTTCCAGCTGACAGTGATTTTTATTAATCTGCCATGAGAAACACATGAAAGGATGGAGGGAAGAGATGCGAGAGAGATGGCAGAGAACATTCACAGGATGTAAAATGTTCTTTCATCAAGTCTTAAACTTCCTAAAGAGTTTTTAAACCACGGCTTCCACAGCTGTTTTTACAATGAGCGCAATTCATTTACATGTGTCAAGAGAAACCCGAAGGATATCGCTGCTGCTTTGAAATTCATGCTAACAAAAATTTTTTAAAAAGGCACGAATGTGTTTTAGCTCGACTTTCTGAGCATCAACGGGATGTTCTGGTGCAAGTTGAGAATGATGAGCAGAAATCAAACCAACATTGCTGAAACTGATTCCCTCAGGTCAAGGTGTAAGCGGTCAAACTCACCTCCACAAAGAGGAAACAGGGCACAATGTAGGTGCTGGTTTTCAGCTGGCTCCTGGCTGCAGGGAAGCTCCTCACTGGCCTCCTCTGGGCCGAGGGCTGACGGTCAATCATCTGCGGGAGGAAAAATTCAATGTAAAGCTTCCATTAAATAGGAGAGGTGTTTGTATAGAAAAAAAAAAAACGGTGTTGAGTTAAAGTGCAAAGGAGTATTTTTCCCCCCTGTTTGGACTACTTAGTTTGTTGCTTTTTAGTGTATTTTTTCAGTATGTTCTGTCTGATTGTTCCCGCTGTCCTGTTTTCAGTTTCTCATAGTTAATGTGTTCCTCTTCCATTCACACCTGCTGTCTATCTGTAATCTTCTTTAATAGTGGTTGGCAATCAGTGTAATGGTGCATCACAACCAWCCAGCATTAGAGTGTGAGCTGGAATTATCTGTCCCTTCAAGAAAAAAAAGGAAAAAAAATATATTGTCTTTATCAGTCTTGTACGGTCTCTGCTTATATCTATTTTCTATCACAGGTCTTACATTTATAGTCCCACCAGTTTCCAAACTTCTCCTCATAACTTGACTATAAAGTTATATTTTTGACAACATTATCTAAAGCCTACAGATGTTTTCAGTATGTGATCTTTGGTTTCTTTAGTGCAGGGGTCTCCAACCAGCAGCTCGTGAGCTCATTTAAAGTAGCTCTTCAGTGCTTACAGTATGAGAACTTAGGAGTAGCACAATTTAATTTGTCACTGGCCAAACAAACTTTCATTTATATCTAATCAGTCCATTTTTTGTTTATTTATTTATTTCCCCTTGTCTGGTTTTTAGTTTTTCTTTTAAGGGTTGCACCTCCTCATGATGTCTTCATGAAGATGATCCTGCTCTGTGCAGGGTCAGTGGCAGCATGACACAGGGCACCTGTTCTCCTCTGTTTGTTATGTTCTGTCTTCTTCTGAATGGCTGTTCTGAACTGTAATTTCATTGTGCTC